TGCAGTGATAATTATTTTACTGTGATAACTTCTTTTTGGCTGGTATTCTGTAGCAGTTCCACTGAGCTTGTTACAGGGTTTGCAGTCAGCCCTATGAAAAGATTGGAAAAGTCATTATGGCATTTTGTTGCAGCTTATGCAACGGCAAGATAATCTATCTTACCCAATTATTTGCAAAGAAGAGTAGCTATCTTTTCTCATAACCTTAATATGATGCAAATCATAGTCTTAAGCTTCTTTGGAATGCTTTATAATGTCTACATATTGGTACAATTTCCAGTAAGCTGTGCAGAGAATAAGCATTCAAATATCTTCTTTGTGAAAGCAAATGTTTTTAAGAACAAACTAAATTGAAATGGCAGCTTAAATAAGAAATCCTGCATTTCTTCCAACTCCTGAGATATGATTTTTGTAGAGGCATTACAACGGGGTTCTTACATTGTGCACTTCACACATACAGGATTTTTGTGTTTTTTACAAGGCTTTATTTAGTATGTCTGGTATTTCTCTAGACTAGAAAAAACTGTATAAAATTAAGAATGTAAGCATTATATGTAAAATAAAAATGATTTACAAAAATAGAAATTAAAAAATAAGTCCACAGAGATAGACATCACCACAACAGATAAAGTTATTACTATTTTGGGAACTTAAAATGAAGAAAATCACTTATTTATTCTATGGCTTTTGTCCGTTTTTAAAAGGTCAGGCAAAATATTACGTGTAGACTTTGCCCAGCTGGTAAAAAGCTCATTGTAAAAGCTGTTACTGGAAATGAGATGGAAGTGAGAAGGATTCTTTGAAGTAGAGAGTGTTGGGTTAAACAGGAATAGACATCTATATGAATACAGGATAGACATTTCTGAAACAGCAGCAGCTCTAATGCTTTGTAACTGGTATGGATCTCTACCACCCTGCGAACTACTACACAGATGCAGTGTACTTCTGTTCTGGTGTACTATGGTGCGGGGCTGTTGCTGGTATGTGCACCTTCCATGTCTAACACAGGAGGAAAATGAGACTCAGAAAGAACCAGGGCATTATAATGTTCTGGTGGGAATGGACACCAGTGACTGTCCTTAGTTTAAAAGTCATCAGTCATGCCTGTTATGAAAGCACAGTAGAGAAAGATAGAAGTATGCAAGCCACTGGACATTTGAGGGAGGCAGAGAAAAAGGTGGAGAGTAGGAAGGAACTAAATCTAGTACATTGAAGGAGGCAATTATCTTGCATGTTTGTACTGATGCGAAATAAATCAATAAAACTTTGTGCTGGAAGTTGAGGTTAGAGACAGAAGGCTTGTTTTATGCACAAAAGAGTCTTATTAGGAAATGGAAAAGCATAAATGCAAGAGAACTAAGACTTCATGAGAACAGATAAAAAGTAAAATTTCAAACATAGTCCAAAGTAAAATACAGTCATTACACCTGATGAGAGCTTCCTCTTCTCCATTTTGTAAATGGGCTCAAAGATATTGGTGTAAGGTATGTCAGAACATGTACATATTTGCCGAAACTAGGAAGGATTGATAGGAGGGAGAAAATGTTTCACGAAATAGGGAAAGGTTCACATCACTGTGATATCTGTCACTATAGCATTGTAATAGATTCCCTGAAGTTCTAAGAAACGGATGTGAGAGTATAACATAGAACTACAAAAGCAAGAGGTTTCACAAACAAGACTACAGGGAAGAACAAGGAAACAAAAAGGATGAACACACAGGCACCGTAAAACCTAAGGTGATGATAATGCAAGTTAACAGAAAGAGAATCCAGCACAACAGAAGAGAATTAGGAGAACAAACCTTCCTGATTAATGGTCATCATGAAAATTAGCTGCTCCTTGCTGCCAAAGACAGTCAGGTGATCAAAGATCATGAACAGAAAAAGGTGTTGCAGAAACATGCAAAGCAGGAGAGACAAGTGAGTAAAGTTGATGGATTCTGAATGGAAGAGGACCACCATTTAGGGGGAAAAGGATAACTTTGCAAATAAATAGATTGTACAAAAAAAGGGAGATGAACATGGATGGATGATGTGGCTAAGGAGTACTTAATTATATGACTGACTGTGCTTTAAGATGGGTGCAAGTGAAAGAGATGAAAGAAGTTCGGGATACCAGAAAAGATACAGAAGAAAAAAAACAGCATGTGAACAAATCATCTTCCATTTTCTCAGTTTGCTTTCAGAGTAAATGATAGCTAGTATTAAATACCTCTTTGAAAGGAAATACACAAGCAACTTAGAAATGTGTGAGTGTTAATCAACACTGGCACAGTGTAATTATCTTATGATGATGATTGCTATTAAAGATTATGTTAAACAAAGGAGATTAAATAAAAGCTGTGGAGTACATGGAAGGTGAGAAGTGTGGGATTATGTTATTAAACAGTAGAATGGTCAGGAGGAAAAGAAAAAACAAAAGAAAATCTTGTGTACAGAGTGAGTAAAGGTGTGGGACATCCAAGGGCAAAGGGTATGGATATGGCATAAGTATTACCTCCTTTGTTAGAAGGTAATGAAAGTTGAGTAAACAGGTTAAATACGAACTGATGTTAATGATGCTTACTCTCATCCCACAATGAATCAAAGAATGACTGAAACCAGGAAAAACAACTGTGTTTTATGATTTCACAAAATATTTATCCATGTAAAATTGATGAGAATTATACATCTGAATTTTAAAATCTGGTAGAAAACAATATGATGGAAACTTTGACTCATACTAGCTATTAAGAGAATATCATCAGTAGTGTTCTTCATCTTCATGCTACTTTAACAAGTATTTTTCTTTTCTTGTCTAACTTCAAGCTTTTCAAAATTCTTTGTTTCCTGCTTTGAATCAAAAAATCTCTTTAATGAAAAATAGTTTGCAGGTAAATTCTGATTTGAATGCTATTTGTGAAATCTAGATCAAACAGATCACAATGTATGTTACCAGTTATTTCAGATTCATTTTTGCCTTGTGAAATTAGATGTCATATCTTCAAAATTTGATCAGACTAGTTAGTTAATGCAGGTTGTCTATTTTGAATGTAACTAAGTTGATGTGCCACGGTGAAGAGCATTAGAAGGATTAACATTTAAAAGCAGAGATTAAAGTGCATGTTAAATACACCTTAAATACATACATGTGTGTATAATTAAAGAGACAGCATCTGATTTGTTTGTTTGTAGTTTGTTATGAAATTTATATCATGTTTCTCTGAACGAGCATGCTGAGAAGCTGAGCACTTTGTGCTTTCTTTCAGTTGTCAAAACCCCCCACTAGCAGAGGGGTCCTGCTCTGAGCAGGCTTTGTTATAGTTTCATGTTTCTTACAATCCCCTCTATCACTTGGGAAAGAGAAGCTTTGGGGGTGAAAAGGCGGAGCAGGAAAACTGAGCTAATATTTAAGGGATAAGAGAGCAGAATGCCTGGAGAAGGGATATGTAGACCTGAAGTCAGATTGCAAAACTGTTGGAAAGAAAAAAGCATCTTAAGGACCTAGTGGAGTAAGGAACTGCTGTAACTGAGCATTAGGACTGAGAGCAAGAGTATAGAAAAGGACTTGCCCTGCCAGGACACAGAGTCTCTGGGGAAATATTTTTATATTTATTCTTGTTTTATATTTTTTTATTAAAAAATGGATTTTCTGTATAAAAAGAAAATTGTTTATAGTCTAAGAAAATTTGTCTTTTGAATATAGGGGCCATTTCTGACATTTGGAGATACTTATGTTAAAAAGGATCTGTTGGCAGATCCACCTTTCATCTTTGACCCACTGTACTGCTGTTGGCTGGGATAGAGTTAATTTTCTTCATAGTAGATTCTAGGGTGTTATGTTTTGGATTTGTGACAAAAACAGTATTGATAACACAAGGATGTTTTAGTTATTGCTAAACAGTGCTTACACAGCATCATGGTCTTCTCTGTTTCTCATGCGGCCCCTCCCAGGAAATAGGCTGGGGATAGGCAATAAGTTGGGAGAGGACACAGCTGGGACAGCTTGCCTGAGCTGACCGAAGGGATATTCCATAGTATATGACATCATGCTCAGCAATAAAATTTGGGGAAAAGAAGGTGGAAGGGGGTGCATTTAGGGTTGTGGTGTTTGACTTCCCATGTAACCATTAGGTGTGATGGAGTCCTGCTTTCCTGGAAATGGCTAAACACCTGCCTGTCAAAGTAGTCAAAGAATTCCTTATTCTTCTTCACTTGTATGTACAGCTTTTGCTCTGCCTATTAAACTGTCTTTATCACTACCCATGAATTTTCTCACTTTTATCCTTCACTTTCTCACCCCCACCCCACCAGGGGAGAGTGAGCAAGCAGCTGTGTGGGGCTGAGCTGCCTACTGAGGTTAAAACATAACACTCAAATGGGGTCAGTCAAAACACATAAGCTGTGAATCTTAATATTTTATTTAGGTATAGGTTACAAATACACATTGCAGTTATTTACGTGAGATAGTATAATGATGCAACAGATGGCTGTTTCACCTTGAGTCTTTAAGTATACTGTATACAGCTTTCAGAAAATAGAATTATTCATTGGGAAAACTTGTTCCTAATAAATAAGCTTTCAGCCTCTTCCGGTCCCAAAATCTGTGGAGGAGCAATAAGTTAATAGATCTAATCTGTATCAGACGTGTACCAAAAGAAAAAGACTAATTTACTTTCCTCTGACTGCTTCTCCTCCTTTTTTACAAAAAAGGGAATTGATGCAAATAGGTTGCCTCATGGACAAGAAAATTTACTCATAGATGTTGTTTGTATACATTTATTTGCAAAGATGCTACCATATGTCTTTAAATGAACAGCATGGAAAACACATTTGTTAAGTGGGTGGGTTTGTTTTGCATTAAGTGTCCAGGATTTGTATTAAAATATGGGCTTTACCTTCCTAAATGCAGTACTTGCTGAGAAAAATTTTTTAGAAATTATTAATTTCAATGATACATTTTACTGAAGGTTGATGTAAAAATGGATTACTAACTTTTGTTTCCTTGGTTTTTTTTAGGATTTATTTATACCTGTGGTGGAACTTTGAAAGGACTTAATGGCACTATAGAAAGCCCTGGCTTCCCATATGGATATCCAAACGGTGCAAACTGTACATGGGTTATAATAGCAGAAGAAAGAAACAGAATACAGATCGTCTTTCAGTCTTTTGCTCTAGAAGAAGAATATGATTATTTGTCATTATATGATGGGCATCCTCATCCTGCAAACTTTAGGACAAGGTAAAGAATAAACATTAGTAACAAGTAAATTGTATTCATATCTTAATAATACCTGAGAAAGTAGTTAAAGCTAGTATTTTTAAATTATGGATTCTTCCTTATATAGACTTTAAGGTGCACTTTCCTTAATTAAACATAAATGTCTTAAAGTCTATATCATGTGCTTTAGTTCTAAAGTAAGAGCAAAAATTAATGTAGCCCTCATAAAATTTGTCTCAACAAAATTTAATTAAGAAGGATAAGAGCATGGATAAATGAATGTACAGTGAATATGAGATCGTGGAGGTCTCAGTTTACGTGATCTAGTAGTGGTGGAACTTTTATAATTTTGCAACAGAAGGCTTTTGAGAGGGATCAGAAAAAGATAACGTATTTAAGATAGAAAGAATAGGTAACTTTTTTGCAGTTGTGTATGAGCATCTTCTAACACAAAAGCATTACAAAAAAACAGTGCGAAAAATCAAAAGTATGATGGGTCACAGAACATTTTTTATCAGTGTCTACTTCAAAGTCAGGGCCAAGATGTCAAGTTTTGGAAGGCTGTAGCTTGAGGGATCCATAATAATTCTGCAATAACTACTGATATAGCATCCATACATTTGCTAGTTATCTTTATTATCATCTGTCTTGACTTCTGTAAGTCAAGTTGCCATCTACCTAGACTTCTGTAAGTCCTTTGACGTGGTCCCACACAACGTCCTTGTTGCTAAATAGAAGAGGTATGGATTTGATTGGTGGACTACTTGATGGATAAGGAATTGGCTGGATGGCCACATCAGAAGGGTTGCAGCCAATGGCTTAATGTCCAAATGGAGACCAGTAACAAGTGGTGTGTCTCAGGGGTCAGTATGGGGACCGGCTCTGTTTCACGACTTTGTTGGTGACAAGGACAGTGGGATTGAGTGAACCTTCAGCCAGTTTGAGGATGACACCAAGCTGAGTGGTGCAGATGATTCGCTTCAGAGAAGGAATGTCATCTAGAAGGACATTGACAGGCTTGAGTAGTTGTGCCTGTGAGAATCTCAAGGAGTTCAGTGAGGTCAAGTGCAATATCCTGCACCGATGTGGAGGCAATCCTTAGTATCAATACAGACTGGGGGATGAATGGATTGAGAGCAGTCTTTCGAGAAGGACTTGGGGATATAGGTTGATGGAAAGTTGGACAAGAGCCAGCAATACGCACTTGCAGCCCAGAAAGCCAACTGTATCCCGGGCTGCAATTAAACAAGTGTGGTCAGTAGGTTAAGGGAGATAATGCTTCCCCTCTACTCTGCTCTAGTGAGATTCCACCTGGAGTACTGCATCCAGTTCTGGAACACCCAGCACAGGAAAGACATGGACCTGTTGGATTGGGTCCAGAGGGCCACAAAAATGATAAGAAGGTTGGAACACCTGTCCTGTGAGGAGAGGCTGGGAGAGTTGGGTTTGTTCAGCCAAGAAGTATCCAGGGAGACTGGATGGTGGCCTTGCAATGCTTAAAGGGGGCTTATAAGAAAGATGGAGAGAGCTTTTTACCAAGGCCTGTAGAGACAGGACAAAGGGCAATGGTTTTAAACTGAGAGAGAGTAGATTTAGATTAGACATAAGAAAGAAATTCTTTACAGTGAGGGTCGTGAGATACTGGAACAGGTTGCCTAGAGGAGCTATGGATGCCCTATACTTGGAAGTGTTCAGGTTTGAGTGGAATGGGGCTCTGAGTAACCTGATCTAGTGAAAGATGCCCTTGCCCATGACAAGGGGATTGGACTAGGTGATGTCCCTATGTCTTCAATGTCCCTTCCAACCCAAACCATTTTATGATTATACCATTCTGTGGCACAGTGATAATAAATGCAATATGTATTCCTAGTCAGGGAACATCCAGTTTCATTTTACTTTGCATAGTGCTGCTCCAGTAAAGGGATGTGTTTTCATAATATTATATGCAAGTGTTGATTCACTGGTAATAATTTTTTTGTTTTTTAAACTATCATGAAACAATCTAGCATCTGTCCACTACAAAGAAAATATAACATAGTACTGCAAGGAAATCAGAACAGTAAAATTCTTCATCTCGAATCTGTGCAGGATGTGAATTCTGTTTGTCAAATGGGTAATAGTCAACAGATATGGAGAAATATATCTCTAATGAAATTATTTTTTCTTTGTACTTCTGTGTTTCCATTTGTATTTCCTGTTTCATGAGTGCTTGGATGCAATTCATATACCAGCTGCAGGAAAGAAGGAGCCCATAACTAAAAGATTTGATCATTGTTTTTCACAAGAAAAACAAAGAAAATGTAATTTTCGTACTTTCTTCCCACTTCTCAAAAGATGAAATTTACACAGGTTCACATGTAGGTGTTCAAAGAGGCCGTTGCTATCAATCAAGACTTCTGTTGGTGAATCTACTCTAGATGTAATCTCAAAGAGTATGTGAACAATGTTCTGCACAGGTGAAAAAGAATAAAACAATTATTACTGTTATGAGCTTACGGTCCTTACTGAGTTACAGTTTTAATGAGCATCAGAAAACCCAGGAAGCTCTAAGGATGGAAGGAATAGGAGAGTAATATCTTGCAAAGATTTTTTTATTTGTATGTCATGCTCAAGCTACCAAGAAGGATTATATACATTTTTATGCACATATATGTTCATACCTGTGTATATCTATCTGTACGCAAAGGTGTATAGATACCTATCTACATATATAGACATGTGTGTGCAGGATTCTTTTTATACTAAACTAAGCCTTCAAAGCTGGAGCTTTGGGATACACATTTTTAAAATGTCGATATCTTGAGAAGATAGTCAAAGAAGCCTGGCACGCTCATAAGATTTGCTATTGTGTATTTAGGATGCCACTACTTTCTGGTGTGGAAAAGGATAAGGAGTTCTGTAGAAGAGAATAGAATGGGTCAGCACTTAAAAATGAAAAGACAATTAAGCCTCCATATAGGTCTTGAAATAAACTACTTTTGCAAGACTTACAAGATCTTGCCAGTGTGTGGGTACAGTAGAAAAATAGTACACATTTGTGTGAGTGGAGAATTGGGTTTTAAATTAAGAAAGTGTGATAGTGAAATTATGCAAGTTTTACTAAATCTTTCATGGTGATGTTTATTTTCTCAGATTCCTGTAGCAGGTAGTAAGGTGATGTTTCCTAGAGTTTAGTTTTTGTGAAAGGTTTTTAAACAAGTTAAGTCTTACTGAGGTACAGTTGCTTGTGGAAACTTTCTTTCTAGCATGATAGTGAATTTTGTCATTTTACTTAGTGACATTAATGAAAGTGTAATCAAATTACACTAGTCACCTTATTTTCATAAAAGACAGAAGTGTTTTCAGGGGACTATACAAATATATTTGTAAAATATATAACTGGACAGCTAAAAAAATTTGTCTCATACACAAGGCCACTATTCCTTTTTCTACTTCAATTTTTTGATTGAAAGAAGTTTCTATATGACTGGAAAAGATTTTGCAGTTGGGCTATTTGTGATGTTGATGACCTCTGACTCCATCCTCACCCAGTTTTGCACTTCTGTGTTTAATTGTTCTCCTCAGATTTGAACCTAGTTGAAATTTGCAGTCGTTGACTGTCTTCAGTGAATGTTTAACAACCTTAACTTATAAAGATGGTACTTAAATGACAGCTAAACAAAAATAAATGTCAGAAAAGCGTGACAAATATGGCCATTAAGGAAAGTGTACAATCAATATTACACTTTCATCTTTGTGTTACTGTATATGCTTGATCTAGCATGTTTAATATGCTATGTCTTTGCCTCAAACTTTAAATAGAGAAAATGTAGAATAATTTAAAGCTGTGAACTAAATGCAAAAAAACCCCCACTTTTCATAAATCGTATTTGTAATCATCTACAAAAAAATCTGTTTGCAGGAAGGTAGTATTACTTACTGTATTTGAACCAAGCTTTCAGCAAAATTTCATCCTTGGGAGTTTTTCTGGGTCATGTCTTAAACACTGTCTATTTTTAGGGCTTTCTTGTTGCCCTCTCTGTGCATCTTTTTGACTTTTGTTTACCCTTTCTTTCACATTTATATGTCTAGCTACCCTCCAAAAAAAATAGATCAGGAAATGTTTTTCTATGATTACATTTAAATTGCAACTTTGTATACACCTTATTTTGGAAAGTAGCTAATACTTCTGACTGCTATTCTGAGTGAAAATATTGCAATTCCAGATGGAACTCCTGTTCCATTATTTCAAAATTTCTGCCTTTCACATAACTTTTGTGTAGACGATTTATTTCAGACAAGCTTTTTGAGGATGCATATCAACAACAGGTTTTTAATTTTTTGGGTTGAGAAAAAAGACTTCTTTTCACACTGGTGATAAGAAATCCCACTTTTAAATGGAGTTAATGGAAGGTAAGATATGAACTGATAAAACTTCACATAAATTAACTGCATTGTAAAATCCAGTTGGAGTCATCTGATGATACCTCTTGAATGTTATGAAAATATTTTTGCATTCTGTATTTTATTTGTATTACTTGTAAATATTTAATTGCAGTAGCTACTACCGCATGTTAGGGAGTGACAGGAGCAGGACTGCTCCACAAGGGGCACAAGCTAGGAGCAGAGGGTGACCCCACTCAGGCTGTGCTTTCACAGACAGGGCACAGTCCTGCAGGGACTGAACATGGGAGGCAGAGCTGGGGAGTGGTAACAGGGTCCATTCACAGTGCCCTACATGGCAAAGAATGAACCAGGTCCAGGGTCCCTCCAGGGAGTACAGGTGTGAGCAGAAAGTCATGGGGCCCGGGACAGAGCTAAGCTCCCCACAGAGTAGGCCTGAGGGACTCATATAGGAGGCAGGGACAGAGTTGTAGCAGGGTCTGGATGCCTCAGAGTGTCCTGGAATGGATTCCTAGGACCCAGGGACAGTGATGGGTGGGAGTCCCATCTGAGGCTGGTCAGGGCCGGGAAGGTCTATTGGTTTCCTCAGGGTCTTGACACTGCACAGAAAAATCTAGGAGAAAATTATTCAAGTTCTT